TCTCTCTCTCTCTCTCTCTCTCTCTCTCTCTCTCTCTCTCTCTCTCTTGCCCCTTGCCATTCCTTTTTCAAATTGACGCCATCTGATTAGTTTGGGGTTTTTTAAATTGCAAATAAGTATTTGGTGTTGTCTTGTAATCAAATTTTTCTTTCCTGGTGGAATGTTCAAAATTGACAGATATGTCTAAATTCACTTTGTTTTCACCAAGCCTCATTCGATCTTTCTTGTTTTGATATGTTCAACATTTGATAGTGATCTTAGGCTAGAAGTCAGTAGATATGTTTCTCTAAGGATATTAATGAATTGTAACCGAAATTAATTTTCTTAAACAAAGATGGTAAAAATGGTTAAGGACTTGTCTAGATAGCGGGTGTATTGGTAGTTCTTGGAGACTGGTTGCTAGGCTATTTAAGAGTCATGGGCTTCTGCTCTGGGTTTTCCTTTTTCTCCAAGCACATCACTAAGCAAAAATATTCGAAATAATATGCGTTAAACAAACCTTGCAACACTGTAAGATTATATAAGAGGAAAACTCTGAGTTTAATGTCCATTTCCGATAGGTCTGAGCCAATGTTCACGTAAAGTGCCTTTCCCAAAAACCGAGCTGTCTCGCACCCTCGAACCGACAATATCACGATTATGAGTTCGGCAACTGTGCCACTAGACAACCGATGGACTACCACTTAATAAGGATTTCAAACTTTCGGATTAAAAGAAATACATTTCTTCCCATCTCTTTCCTTTCTTTTGAAATGGCCAGGCTCTTGGTCATAAATTTGGTGGACATGAATTCGATTCCCAAGAGAGAAACTAATCTGTTTGAGCCTTTTTGTCTTTCTCCATTGATATACTTTATATTACCCCGTATTCCTTTAAAAAGCAGAGTCGTTGAAAAAGCGTTGTGTCAATGGTGGCGTAAAATAGTTATCACAAATTTACCCAAACCCCCTCACAGGTTGAGCAAGCCTTGAGGAGACACGGAAGTGCCATCGCTATCCCCTACTGGGACTGGACTCAGCCAATCAGCCACTTGCCCGAGATCTTCACGTCTGAGGACTTCTACGATGTCTGGAGAGATGAGGTAATGATCTTGTACATTCCCCTTACTCGTGGTCTTATTTTTTATTTTAAACGAGGGTGGAAACGTTTATTAAGAAGAAGTAAGTGCCTGTCAACCTGGGCGATATAGATCATTAGTGGGCGAATTGATACTTATGGTGAGAGGAGCAGATCTCCAGGGTAGTGACAGGCAGTATCCAACACCCCATAAAAAGTTGTGTCCTCTTAAAGGAGACAAAAATGTGTGTTTGCTATAAAACATTGACACACACTCTATTATTATTAACTATGGATACTCACTGTGCTCTCTGCCCGGCTTGAGAACTGACCAACCTATTTCAATATGTATCCAATCTCCTCAGGTGGTGGCAAACCCATTTGCCCGCGGCTACATTCCGACAGAGAAGGCTTACACCGTCCGTGACGTGCGTCCAGAGATCCACCTGAACGACCGCGAGGGAAGACATTCTGCGCTCTTTGACCTGGTGCTCTTAGCCCTAGAGCAGACCGACTACTGTGACTTTGAGGTAGGCCAACGTACCATAGAAAAATATAGCAACATTACCACTTTTAGTTCATCAATTACATGTCACTTGCAGGCTGCTAGATGTAGTAAGCCCAAAAGCCCCTTTTTAAGAAAAGTAGGCTCTTAATCTTTGACAGGGTCTTAATACATGGTATCAGTTACATGTAGTTCTGATATATTTTATCAAAATTTATATTCAACATGTTAAAAAACATTTTTAAAGGTACCCAATTTGAGTACAGTTTTCTCTCTCCTGATATATTTTGCTTTTTGACATAAAGCAGGTGACAATTTTGCCACGAGAATATGATGCCGTTGTAGCCTGATAATGAAGGTTCTAATCAGTTCAGTTCAGATTGCATTGTAGAGTTATGTAAATCTGGTTTTCAAGTGTTTTTTCTTTCGGGGATGTAATGGGAATCTTTTTAAGATGTTGACTTGTGGTTTCAAATTCACAACAAATAATGGCCGGCGTCAGTTAGGCGCTACAACGTCGCACGCAAAAGACCTGAATTCATTTGGGGAAACTTTTTTATTGAGAACGTTTTTTTTTTCCCTCCGACTTTGCTTCCCTCTCAGACCTGACAGGCAAGGTTGAAACTTGCCGTCTAAATTATCTAAATTACCATAATGTCGACAGGGATGTAAAACTCCTTATATTTAGTAGTTGTTGTTTTTTAAACAAACTCGCACACTATTTCCTCTCACAGGTCCAGTTCGAGGTGATGCACAACGCTATCCACTTCCTGGTTGGAGGTCTCCAGACTTACTCGATGTCCACCCTCGAGTACTCGGCCTATGATCCCATGTTCCTTATCCACCACTCCTTCACCGACAAGATCTGGATTGTATGGCAAGAGCTACAGAAGAGACGCCACCTTCCCGCTACCTCAGCAGCCTGCGCTGTCAACTACATGAACCAACCTATGAAGCCATTCTATTTTGAAGGTTTCAACCTCAATGGATTCACCAAGTGAGTTTACGGTCATGAATATTCAAGCGAGTGCTTCAAAACCTGAGTGATATCATTCACTGGTAGATGATTTGGTAATTTTAGTGGGCTGTGTGGATCACCTGGGTCGTGGAAAGCAGGACAGGATAAGATGCAAAACATCATTTCCTACATATGATTATACTCAACGTCTACTGAGAAGACGATCCGCCGATACGGAGTCTATTCAATAGACCGACCGACTTCTAAGAGTTGAACTTACCAACCGACTTCTAAGAGTTAAACTTAAACTACATTCCATCACTAAGAGATAGTGAACTTTTTTACCCCGTACAAACCATACTTCTGTGGCTGGACAGAGAAGCAGGTTGCCCCTAAATTCCATTTTAATAGTAATAATTGTGATAATAATAATGATAATGATAATGAAAATGATAATTTGTTTTGTAAGTGTTTTACGGCGCATGCAACTGCATAAGGTCATATGAGCGCGCGGGACACATTAAACTTTTTCAGTTGGTAGGAAATTTTGAATTTTGCCCGGGTGGCGGCCGAAGCCTACTCTTATCGATTTTAGACCACCAAGGGAT